TATTTTATATACTTTAAGCTTAATTATCTTTATAAAAAAGTAATAGTTACTTATTTATATACTTTTAAAGTTATTTATTAAAATACTAACTTTTTAGCTAAAACTAAGATCCTAGATAATAATAAAGGTAATAAGTATCTTACCTATATGTATTTATTAATATTCTTTACCTTTATATACTAAAGGCTAAAGCCTCTTTAAACTACCTATAACCTTACTCCTGTCGCTTCTGGCTCTACGTACGGACAATCGCAGATTGACGAGATTCTTTCCAGTATACAGTATCATGGTCAAACGGATAAGATGGTAGACCCTTGAGAAGACTTAGCCTGCTGTTCTTTCCTTCGGGAGCAAAGGCTCACTCAATGCCGTCAAAGCCGATAATGGACCGTCCACTCTGAAGTGGAAATGCTTTCCACAAGAGCCCCAAAGCGTCAAAGAAAGATTCCACGTCGTGCTGGCCGCGCTTAAGCACGCCGGAGTATGGGAGGCCAATGCCTGTAATGTTGTTGATAGTCTCTGTTGCAGGGCCTTTCAGAGCGGGGTGAGGTCCAACCTCAAGTGCAAAGTCAAACAGGTGGCTTTCATTGACCGCTCTCTGAACCGCTTGACTAAAAAGCACAGTGTTGGTCATATTGTCAACCCAGTATTGGCCCTTCAGTGACTCAGTATCGTCGCCCGTGAATGAGCGGCTGCGTCCATTGGACCCCCAAACGCTTGAGTACCAAGCCACATCGTTTCCAGGACTTTTGTTAATCTTGATGCTGCACTTCTGAAGCGAGTCGAGATATGGCTTGGCGACTGGCACTATGTGATGTGAGTGATAGGCCGTGTTGACTTGTAACACTCTCGCAAATGTCCCAGCTGCGTCGAGCTTCTCTTTGGCGGAGTTAATAGCTGAAGCGTCACCCGCGAGAGTGCAACTGCGAGCCGAGTTACTGGCTGTAATCTTGATGGTTCCTCTCGACTCCGCGCAGAATCTAGCAGCTTGATCAATCGACATGCCTACTGCTATCATCTTGCTACTAGACCCCTCGGGCCCTTGAGCCTTTTTCGAATGGAATCCGCGGAAGTACGCAATACGAATGGCGTTGTGCGCATTAAGGTAACCAGCCGTATACGTAGCAGCAATTTTACCGGATGAATGGCCAACAACGCCTGAGAACTGTACTCTAGCCGCACGCAGCATGTCGATAAGGGCCACTTGTACAGCTGTTTATATAGGCTGCGAGATAGCTGCTTCCCCTATGCGTGAAGTTGAAGGAGAAGCACGGAGTTCTTTAATGAGAGACCAGGATGGACGTCCGTCTTTGACAGCCAGGTTATCAAGACTGTCTTGCATACGTAAGAAAGCACTGCGGAAGACATTCGACGATTCATGGAGTTGAACACCCATGGTAGCCCACTGGGCACCCTGGCCTGTGAAGACACCAAGGATGCGTGGTGGCATTTTCTCCGGGATGCTCGTGGTGCGAGGGACCTTGTTCAGAACAGCTGTCTTGAGCTTTTCGGTGAGCTGTTGCACACTTGTCGCAGAGAAGGCCGCGCGGAAACCGAAGTTAGCGCGATGGAAGAGGGTGTATGACAGACACCGAAGGTCTGTCTCGGGGTTGCTTTCCAAGTAGTGACAGAGTTTCGACGCCCTCGAAGCCAGGGACTGCGCTGAATTTGCGGACAATACAAATAGACCACCTTCAGTCTTAGAATGACTGCCTGACTCCTGTCTTTTGCTTTCCCAGGCCTCAAGGATAGCGTGCGCATTTGTTCCTCCAAAACCAAAACTGTTCACACTAGCACGGCGAGTCTAGCTGTTGGGTAGAACTGGCCATGGCTGTGTTTTAGTTGGGACTTGCAGATTTCCATAGAAAGGCTCGATCTTGGGATTGAGGGTCTTGAAGTGAACATTGGCGGGGATTTGGCCATGTTGAAGAGCTTGTGATGTCTTTAAGACACCAGCGAGACCTGCACTACCCTTGAGATGTCCTATCAGGGTCTTGACAGAGCCAACTGTGAGTTTGCGGTCGTAAATGGAACCTTTGGGGAAGAAGACTGTCGAGACTGCTTCAGCCTCCCTTGCTGTTCATAGGAAAAACAGATCAGCATTCATAATTGTGAGCTTGGGACGTGACGTGGACTTACGGTCGCCAGCTTGTGTTCCAGTCCCATGGGCTTCAAAGTATTGTGGTCGATCAGATTTAAGTCTCAGATTAAGACCTGCCTTGGTATATGTGGACCTGATGAGCTCGGCTTGTGCTGTTGGGCTTGGCATAGTAATACCTATGTAACTAAAGTTAGTCGGTCCCAATCACCCATGGTGCATTGCGTACCTGGAGTTTGGCCGTCTTGGTTGACGCCTGTCTCTCGAATGATGCATTCAATGTGATCGCTGTCAGCAATGGCCTGGCTCAGCGTCTTGAGTATGACGGCCGACGTTCCTTCTCCACGGGTATATCCATCTGCATCCTTATCCCACATATAGGAGCGTCCATTGGGAGACAGCATGTTAAGCTACATTGGGTGTTAGCACGGTCGTTGAAACCTTGCGATAAGTAAAATAGGAGAGGTCTACTAACACTTGACTCCGACATAAACAGATCTGGCACCAAGATTAGGTTCGATCTGGCGGCAATAGCCATCTTGGCTTTACCACTTCTCAGAGTCTGCACGGCGTAGTGTAACGCTACTAAACTGGAAGAACATGCTATATTAATACCTACAGACGGTCCTTTCTAGTCGTAGAAGTAAGATAGCCGGTTCGCCAAGATAGACATGGCAACACCGGTAGCAAGAGGAGTATGATTATTATTAAGGAGCTGCGAAACGATAAAATACAGGGCCGTTTAAAGTAACAGCGCAGTATATGCAAGCTCACAGTCCGAGTATTAACGTAACCACAGTCGAATTCATACACATTACAGTCGTAAGCCAACAACATGTCCCGCCTTGACGTCACCTTCAAAACACTGGATGGCCTCACCCTGAGTGGATGGCTATACCCAGCCGCCCAATATGGGCCAGGCATTATTGTTTCTCCAGGAGTAGGTTACTTAGTTTCGCCCAAGAATACCGTTTGCTAAGCCCTTCCGTAGTTCAACATGCCTAGAGAGGCCTTTGTGCCTGATATCGCGCAGTGGTATCAGAATCATGGCATCACGGCCCTCATTTTCGATACGAGGACTTATGGCCTAAGTGATGGCCTACCGAGACAAGAGGTGACTAAATCTTTAATCCTCCTTAAACTTCGGATTGGTACCTAAACGTTTACATCCAGACTAGCACTCGTAAACGAGTTGAGGATTTTCATGATGCCGTCACGTTCCTTTCCAAGCACGAACTGGTTGACCCTCAGAAGATTGCCCTTTGGGGCCTCTGTTTTGATGGGAATATGTGTCTTGCTGCTACAGCACTCGAGTTAGTACCGTGACAACGATCTAAATTTTGAGCAGTGCTAACAAAGACTTCAGTCCACGTGTACATGCTGTCGTCGCGGTAGCACCTGTCATTGACCTGCATGGATTTCCCGAGCGACGAAGAGCTATTATTGAGCTGGCCATGCAGGATCGCGAAGCTCAAATGGCTGGGGAAGGTATCTTGCTCTTCCTTATGTGGTGAATTATCTAACTCTCATCGTCAGAGCCACTCTATCTGCCCTACGTCAACGAAGATGGCACTGTTCCTCTCGGCCCCTCAATGGGCTCAGACTTTTGGCCCATGATGACACGCTTGAAAATCCCTGTCGAGAACCGCGTCACGGTGCAGACATTCTACAGTGCTTTCTCGTGGGATATCATGACGCTCATTCCCTATGTCAGCCCTACGCCTGCAATGATGGTAACACCCGAGAATGATATTGAATGTCCCGCAGCGGAGCAGATTGCCGCGTTCGAGAAGATGGGTGAGCCAAAGACCTTTCATTTGCTTCCTGGAAAGGGTCATTTGGACTGGGCTTTTGGCGATGTTGACTCTGTGATGGAGAAGCAGTTGGAATTCTTAAAGGGAGCCTTGAATTTCTAGACCCGCGACAGTTGTTATTTATCTTGGTAAATGCTCATACAGACAATGAGAAACAGTATATGTACTCGGAGCTTAGAAGAATCAGTCAGCTGTGTTTACCATGGATTACTGAATAGAAAGGCAGCTAAAATGATTATGAATCCTGCCCTGTAACTTATTGTAGCCACGATTATATCATGAGATCTCCTTCAGTACTTATTCTTTTAAGCCTTGTCTGCCTATATATATAATCTGTGTCTATATTGGCGCCATTCTTTAGAACACGCCATCTAATCCCTTCTAATCAAATCTCCTCCAGCGTGTCCATCTGCCCCTGCAGCTGAGAAATGATTGGCGCAGTCTATGATGCTCCTGTGATAACCCTGTAATCGATCCCTGTGCGTAACCAGGAATGCTTGTTTTATCGGATCCAAGTTCATCTGCACTCTTCTCCATGGGCGTCAGATCCATGACACCTTGATAGGCATTGGGACTCGGTATTGTTTGTACACCTGAGAAGAGACACCTGTCCAGCCGGTTGATAAGATGTACCAACAATTGAAGGACCATCGTAAACTGCGCTGAGGAAGGAGCTGGGTCCGCTATCAGCGAGCTACTATGGTTGACTTCAAAGGCAGTCTTTTCCCTCGACTTTTCATCGATACAATGTTCTATAGATTTGCAAATTGCCTTGAAAAGATCCAGAAGATACTGGTGGCAGGCAAGGGTTGTGAGAGCCAGCCCTCCAATGCCATAGCCCGAGACACCTTCTGAAGTATTCTCGCCCTTCTCCCCGGAAATGATTATGGATATGGTGTTGATAATACGTACCAAGGTTCTTGTGCCATCGAAAGCTTGGTTCACATACTGTGACGACACAGTTGGTGGAGTGCTACCGGGACAAAGCAGAGCAATTGTAGCTGAGATGGTCTCAGTGCTCACAGCCATAGCCTGCGAGGTAAGTTCTTGTGAGAAATTGGGCGTCGCACTGTCATCACTGGCTTCGACATTGGGCAATGGTGTCTGATTCGGGGTTGTCTCATCCCACCATTGTCCTTCGTCGAGGTGTACATCCATCCCAGCCATAAAGTCATTACTCATTTTCAGTTCTGGATTAATATTCTGAGACGTATTCTCGAGTTCAAGGTTTGCTTGGGCCATTGAGCCCGTCTGGTGCCAGTTGAAGTTGTCATAGTCAAGCCAATCATCTTCCAGAGAACCACTTGTCTGTTTCTCTAAAGATGGCAGGCCCATATTGTTCTCGGAGTTGAAGCACGGTCTTTTTGTCTTGGCTCTTAATGTAGTGATACCTTCACCTTTTGTTAGATGGTGGGATCAACTCGATCGATCCACAGTTGTACACACATGCTGTGCCTGCCTTTGCACACTTGGAGCATTTTGGTAGAGGCTGGCCTGGTGATGGCTTCTGAGAGGGGGAGTCTCGAAGACACCGAACCTTTTGCTGCCGGCAGCGCTCGCATGATTGGCGGTGGGACATGGAGCCGAACATGTGGGTGCTAGACGGACGTGTCGGCATCGCATGGTGGCTCCATGGGTTACTTCTCGGGCATTCTCTTTATAACATGTGCGAACTAATTAACTCACTGCCAGGATCCTCTTCTCTCTTGCCTCTGACCCAGACCGTAAGGTGCTGTACATTATTTGTAGAAACTGTCAGATTGAGGCACTTTCATGGCCTGATTGTATGATTATGCAGTCAGGATTATGTGAGGACTGAATTAGGAGCGTTACACAGGATAAGATCCTGCACTCTTTTGTCTCCAAGATTCCATACCAAGTCCCATTGTGAGGTGATGCCAAGTCCAAGCTTCGTAATACGATTGCAAGAGAGCAGTATCCCCCGTTGATCGAAACTTTAATTTCTACGCAACTTTTTATCTAGCTGCGTGGTTGCTTATCTTAATTTTGTCACACGGGACACAGTTGCATATTCCCCGGCCATTCAAAGGCCGCGTAACAGATAGTTCCTCTTCCATTGGATCCGGTGGGAGTGTAATTGTGACGAGATAACGCAGCAGCGCCACTTAGGTAGGGGTGATGCTTACATGCTTGCATGCGTGCATGTGCTGACATCACTATCGCTGTGAGAAAAAGTCAGATTAGGATGCATCAAGTCCGGGCCGTGCCGATACTAACAACCGCGAAGCCGACGCTTATACAGCATCTCACAAACAATGGGCCGACTGGTGCAGATCGCATGTTGTTTGATATCAGCGCTTACCAAAAGTAGCAATAACCGATGCTGTGCGGCATATCAATAGGCATAGTTAGAGAAGTTTCAGTACTCCTCGGGTTCCGAAATCGATTATTATCAAATACGTCTGGCATAGATATATATTTCTGGAGGTTCTCGGATCAGCCAAGCCCTGCAATTTATGGCCTGTTTATCAGCCTCTCCCATAGATTGTGTGCAAGATAGCAGAAGAACACACATGATTGCCAGCGATATGGTGACCAAGCAGTAGATATACACCCAGTCCTCGTTCCTCCTTCCGTTTGTTCCGGTGTAAACGGTGTCAGACCCTGTGCCAATAGAACCGGCTGGATCGGATAAGATACACCGACCTGATCCATCCCATTCATTACCTAGATAACAAGTAGAAACATTGCAGCAGGTAGAGTGAGGAGCTTGACCTTGTCTATTGGGGCTGAAATTGCCTATCGTAGTGATTTTTAAATTATGGGCTTGAATGCTAACCTCAGGACTCCAGATCACGGCTAGCTATACAACATGATTGGGTGAAAGTCATGATTGCACTGTGAAATCGTCTTAGTAGGTGATTGGGCTACCTGTTGACACTGCACCTTTAGTACTACTTTTTGATTAGCCTAGATTGGGTTCTTGAAAGTCAGTGATTTTTTAGCGTTTATGTGAGGTTTTCGTGAAACATAGAATCTCATGGTTTTGCTTTTACATCATTGTCACTAGGCACAGCATTTCATCCTGAAACCACCCCGCATTGTGAAGGAAATCGGCGAGGTCATTTGTTCACTAGTATTTGTGGCGCTTATACCCGAGAGACTCCATACCCCGTCGATCAGGCTTCAAGACCAGTCGTTCCACTCCCCTCAGCAATGCCACTCAATCAGTGAAAGATATACCCTAACGACTTCAAAGCTCAACCTTTGAAACAGCAATGTCAGACTTGCGAGTAGCATCGCCACTCTCCTCCATGGAGCTAGACTCCCGAACAAGGCTCGGAGCCTTAAGATTTCTTCTCTGTTTCCAAGTAAGACCGGGTGTCTCAAAGATAGTATCGATCTCCTCAAGGGTATATCCCTTGGTCTCAACAAAGAAATACCAGACGGCAACAAGCTATTAAAAATAATCAGTTAGTTGTCTTCTAACCATATTAAAGGCAGGGCGCAAGACTTACCTCGAGGAATGTGTAGACAATAAATGCAATGTAGTACTTCCATCCAGCATTTTTCAAACCGATTGGATTTACGAAAGAAGAAAAGAACCCTGCGGCGTGCATGATACCCGTCATGTAGGCAACTCCACGGGCTCGCACCTCGTAGGGAAGAAGCTCGGCCGGATAAGCCCAGAGAGGAGTCCATCCGAGGTCGTAAGCGCCGTTACTGAGAAAGATAGAGACAATAACACCAATCGCGTAATTGCGTGTGCCGTGCTCAGTGTATACTGTGACGATTAAATTAGGACATTTTGTTCAAATTGAATTTTCGCTCTGGAAGAACTCACGAGCTGCAAATGTAGTCCACAAAATGAAGGCAAAGAACATTCCCGCAGTAGAGATGATAAAGAGCTTGCGGCGGCCAATGCGATCAACCAAGAAAGAAGCACCAAGTGCCAAGACAAAGTTGTAGATAGACAAGCAGCCGTTTACTGTAGTTTGCTCAATGGTCTTGGTGATTCCGATGCTGTTCAGCACGGAATGGAGATAGTATTGAACCAAACCGTTACCGGAAATCTAGAAAGATTGTGAGCAAAGGCGCTTTTGGAAGTTTGCTTCGGCATTCTTACCTCGAGGAACAGACCACAAAATGTAACAAGAATAAGTCTTCTCCTGTTCGGCTTCGTGCGGATGAGATCGAGATAGCTGCCCTGCTCCTTATACTGTGCATCTTTGAGGATAGCTTCCTTGATCTGTGTATATTCAATCTCCACAATTGGATTGCTCTCATCACCGTTGGCATGATGCTTTACCAAGAAGCTTCGGGCTGCTGCGCCATTACCCTTGGAAACCAGCCAACGAGGGCTTTCGGGGATAAACCAAAGAAGGGTGATCTGGATGACAGCCGGGACAGCTTGGAGACCACTGGGAATACGCCAAGAGCGCGAATCCTCGATGAATTGAGTACCGTAGGTTGTCCAGGCTGCAATGATGGCACCCGTATACCATGCAGTGGGAAAATAGGACAAGATCGTTCCACGGTGCTTTGGAAGGGCAAGCTCGGCAAGGAGCAGCGGGGCACCAACAACGGTGAAAGCGAGACCGAAACCAATGATGAATCGAGAAAGGACAAATTGTGCGATGTGCTTAGAGGTAGCCTGTAGAATCGCGCCGAGCAGAGTCCACGAGGCACCAAAGGCAATAGACTTGCGACGTCCGATCTTATCGACGGTCCATCCAATGAAAGGCAGCGCTAGCATGGCTCCAACCGTCTGGATAGAGTTAAGCAGGCCCAAAACGGGTCCTTCCGGGTGGTCAAACTCTGTAGTCAGGGTGAGGGGTTAGTCCCTTGTAATTTACCATCACGATTCACTCGAGACGAATGTTAGGGGTACTCACCTTCTTGCCAAGATGGCAGCAGCTGCAAGCCATTCATGATCATGCCATCGAAGCCTTGATATGAGCTGCTAAGGATGACAACTGGTAGCCAGAGGTAAAGCTTCCTCAAGCCGGCATCATTCCACCAATGGGTGGATGGACCAAGTGCATCAGCCATTGTTAAAAGGTTGCTTTGAAGATTTGCTGCAAGTTTGAAGTAATAGTCCAAGATATGATTGCAATGATAAGCGATATAAGTAAACAGAAACGATAATAGTCGTTATGAGCCCACTTCTCTATTTATCAACAGTGTTTTTAAGTGCTATACCATAACGCTTTATGGTGTTTGCTGTTGTGTCTACTAGGCTTAGCCCGTACCCAGCAATCTGGAACCGCAAGTAGTACGCCAACAGACATGCCACCAACATAATTTAGAGCGTCACGCAATAATGAGGCTGAATAATGAAGAATACAGAACCAACAGATATTTCCTCGAAATCGCCTTCAACCACAAGACTAAGATGCCAAGTAGCAGGGTCGCGTAGTCTAGCAATCTTCTAGCACCAAAGAAAACACGTCCTGACCAGGGCAGAAAAACTTCGCAATCCTTACTATCACAGAAATCAATGTTTAGTGTGTAGTCGAATGGCTCCGATCATGGTCAGCCAAGTCCGAAGAGACGACGGTATTGCCATTTTGCTCCGAACAGGGGTCGGACATTTTTGACAGCTCCACCAACGCTAGAGTGCACATCCCAATCGCGTAATGCCGTGACGCTCTGTAGCGATACTCCTTTCTCGGCAGGCAATCAACTGAAACTCGGAGATTAATTGCCCTGAAAATGGCGGAGCCAACCTCTCTTAAGGCACCTAAGTCAAGTTGTTCTCTAGTGCGACTTGGACCAATCACCAGGATTGACTAATCAACACCACATCCATCTGAATTCAGTCTAAGTCACTACCAGCTTGACTAACATCGACGCTCAATAGCAAGAAGATTGAGGACCTGCTGGGACTTTGGCTAACAGCCTCTTCCAATTGATCTTGTTTTACCATTTGTTATCCAACCCATTTGGTCTAGCTTCTACTGCCCAGGTTTCCTTCCAGCACAGAGCATCCAACATGTCTACGCCGACTGACGGGTCGGTACTCGAGACCCAAAAGGATGCTTCCATTGAGGTATCCGTCCCAAAGGGCCTTGATTCAGAAGGTCTCGACGCCATTCGGGTCCTTCTTCAGAGTCAAGGTTTAGGCGGCAATGATACGCCAAAACAAATTGGCGTTTCCTTCAAGAATCTCTCGGTCACAGCTCCTTCGGGCACCCAGATCCAGGTCAAGACTCTGCCTCAAGCCATCCTCAACACCTTTGGGCCCGACCAAGTTCGCTTTATCAGAGAACAGGTCTTGTCACGCATCAGCCCACGAAACCCTATCGCCGAGGGGAGGACGATCCTTGATGGATTCTCGGGCGTTGTCAAACCGGGGGAAATGCTTCTCGTCCTGGGACGCCCGGGTAGTGGATGCTCCACGTTCCTCCGCACTATCGCCAGTCGATCCAGTCTGGCCACTACCGGTGACCTCGAGTACGCCAACGTATCTTCGTCTGTCTTCAAGCGTGACCATGCGAGGGAGACCATCTATCTACCTGAAGAGGATAGGCACATTGCTTCCTTGACCGTCAGACAGACGATTCAGTTTGCTCTGCGTAACTCTCTCCCTACAGACGCTCGCAACACGAAGCTTGTGGCAAGCTTAGTTGATGCTATAGCCAAGATCTGCGGCCTCTCACATGCTCTCGACACTCCTGTTGGTGGTGCATTCTCACCGGGAGTCTCAGGCGGAGAGAGGAAACGGTGAGAGAGAAACCTTAACCTCGCAGCAACTATTTTGTCTAACCTGCGACCTTCTAGTGTTTCCATCGCCGAGGTCCTTGCAGCTGGTTCCTCGGTCCAATGCTTCGATAATTCGACCCGCGGCCTCGATTCCTCCACGGCCTTAGACTTTGTCAAAGCTTTAAGAGCCTTCACCGACATCGGCCACAAGACAACTCTCGCAACACTCTACCAAGCCGGCGAAGAGATATACCGAAACTTCGACAAGGTTGTCGTTCTCTCTGAAGGACAAGAGGCATTTTTTGGAAGCACGTCCGAGGCCTGGAGCTACTTCAATAACCTTGGATTTATTCCCATTCCTGGTCAGACTACGGCAGAGTTTCTCGCTACTGTGACAGACCCTGACGAGAGAAGGGCTATTCCTGGGTCAGAAGCCGATAGCATCAAATCTTCCACTGATCTTGCCGCAGCCTTCAAAAGGTCCAGCAACTATGCAAACCTTGTCAGTGAGATCGACGAATATCGAGAGAAGCAGGGTCAGGCAGACGCTCTGCTTCCATCCTATTCGTATCGCTTGTCGCTGCCTTCTCAGGTGATGGAAAGCTTGAAGCGGGAGTATCAGCTCGTCAAGGGACAGAGACGGGTCTACTATATCAAGTGGATCACAACCATCATTCTCTGCCTTGTCTGCGGTAGCGTGTACTTTGACATCGAGAACAATGCCCAGGGTGCTTTTACCCGTGGTGGAATCTTGTACTTTGCATTGATCTTAAATGGATGGTTGCAGTTCCCTGAACTTTTCGATGCCTACACAAACAGGCCTGTACTAGAAAGACAAGGTATCTTGACCCAAACCGACGCTAGATATTTTGAGATTGTGTTACTGACGATTATCCTTCAGCCAACCTCCACCTCACCCGTCCTGCTGCAGTCGCACTGGCCCGTTTCCTTATTGACCTACCGCTCATCGCCTTCCAGCATGTCCTTTTCACTCTCGTCTTTTACTTTCTTTCACGGCTTCAGGTTGAGGCTGGCAAGTTCTTCTTCTTTTACCTCACGCTCTTCATATCGACAGTATGCTTCAGCAACCTCCTCCGCATGTTTGCCTACTTTGTTGGAACGTTGGATGACTGTAAGAATCAATCACTCCAATGTTATGTCAGCGTCAGCACTAACGCAGTACTATGATGACTAGGCTTCCGCTATGGAGGATTCTCTTGCACAGTCCTTCTTCTATTTGCGGGCTTTCTGATCCCTCCCAATGATATGAGTCCAGCCTTCGGATGGCTGCACCACATCAATCCCATGTTCTACGGCTTTGAGAATGTACGTTCCGCGATCGAATCAATGTCCCTCGAGATGTATCGGACACTGACATTTGCTTCAGCTCTTTAGTAGCGAGTTCAGCAACTTGAACCTCTCATGCCATGATAACCTCATCCCAGCACAGGGTGTTGCAGGGCATCAGACCTGCGCCGTGAGAGGTGCTTTACCTGGCCAGACTAGCGTGCCGGGACTACAGTACGCCGAGTCTTTCGGCTTCTCCTACTCCCACAGATGGCGAAACATCGGTATCATGATCGCTCTCGGTCTGGCCTATCTTGTTACTGGCATCTTTGGAAGCGAGTTCATGAGCTTCGCACCCAATGGCGGGGCTCCCCTCATCTTTGCCAAACGCCGCGATACTTCTACTTCAAACTCTCATGACGTTGAGAAGTCCGCTCCCTCATCCGGCCACGTCAGTGTCTTTACAACTCGGATTGGACAAGTTGCCCTCAAATGGAGCCAGCTCAGCGTCGACATTGGCGATAGCCATATTCTCAAGAAAATCTCGGGATACGTCAGGCGGGGAGAGCTTACTGCTCTCTGCGGTGCTAGTGGAGCAGGCAAGACGACACTTCTCACGGCTCTGAGTCAGACCAACTTTGCGGGCAGCATCGTCGGTGGAGAGGTTCTGGTCGACGATCAACCTCCTGGCTCGAGCTACAGGAAGACAGTTGGTATGAATCAATCCCACGCAGGTTTCTGTGGAATGGTAGCTAACGAATTTTGTTAGGATTTGCCCAACAGATGGATCTACACGACGGTACAGCAACTGTTCGGGAGGCTCTAGAGTTCTCTGCCCTTCTCCGACAACCGAAGCATTACTCCAAGGCCGAGAAGCTGGCTTATGTGAGCAAAGTCTTGGACTTGCTTGATCTGAATGATGTCCAGGACGCTCTGATTGGAGAAGATGGCGGTGGTCTTGGTGTCGAGCGACTCAAGAGAGTAACGGTATGTTTTAGGGTCCCTCCCGATTCCGACCATCGAAGCTAACCTTTGGCATGATTAGATTGGTGTTGAACTTGCTGCGCGGCCCGAGATCCTGTTCGCCGATGAGCCAACCTCCGGCCTGGATTCTCAAGGTGCATCTCGCATTGTCCACTACCTCAAGACACTCGCTCGTCAAGGTCAGGCAATAGTTGTCACCATTCATCAACCCTCGGCGTTGGTGTTCTCCCAATTTGACAATTTGCTGGCCCTGTCTTCAGAAGGCAACCAACTCTAGTATGTCTCCATTCCCAAAACATTAATCTTCGCAGACTGACCAGGATGTAGCTTTGGCAAGGTCACCGAAGCCCTCCCGTACTTTGCTCGTAATGGTGCAACATGTCCTGAGGGCGCCAACCCCGGCGAGTTCATCCTCGAGACTGTTGGCGCAGGTGTCAACGCTCGCACCTCTGACAAGGGAGCTAACTGGGCTTCGACATGGGCTGCCTCCCCAGAGGCCACTGCACTTGGGCGGGAGATCACTATCAGTAGTGATACTCCGAAGGGTCTCTCCCCGGCAGTCGACGAGGAAAATACGTCTGAGCACAATGCCTCCGTGGTACTTCAGACATTGCTTCTCACAAAGCGGATGCTGCTTAACCAGTGGCGCAGTCCCCCGTATATCTACTCCAAGATCTGGGTCCATGTCATCAGTGCTATCCTCGTCGGGTTCACCTTCTTCCAGATCGGCACAAGCCCGCAGGATCTACAGAATCGGTAAGTATTGCTTCAACTTCTATTCTCTCTCCCAATCGCTAATAGTTTCTATAGCATGTTCAGTGTCTTCTTCATCCTCTTCCTTTGCAACGCCATTGTCAACGTGATTTTGGCACGTTACTTCTTTGCGAGTCTGTACTGGCAGTTTCGCGAAGGACCGTCTCATGCGTATGGCTGGATCGCTTTCGTGTCTTCAACCATACTCTCAGAGATACCCGGCGCTATCTTGGTCACCGTTCTGTACTTTGTCATCTGGTACTTCCCAGCCGGTTTGCCTTTAGACCAAGCCGGTTATATCTTTCTGTTCCTTCTCACATATGAGATCTTCCAAGTAGGTCACACCTAGCTCAGTTTGATCGGGGACACTCCACTGATACTTGCAGGTCCTCCTTGGTCTCTTCATGATGGCCCTTAGCCCAGATCTGGGAGCAGCAGGAAACGTTCTTGTTTTTATCGTCTGCACTTGTAATTGGTTCAACGGCATCATTGTTCCTTACAGCCAAATCCAGGTCTTCTGGAGATACTGGGTAAGCCGCAGCATTTCCATAACTCAACTCCCTGGAATTTTGTCTGACGCAGATATAGCTCTACTACCTGTCCCCATTTACTTACCTTCTTGGTGGAATGGTGACGGCCGTGACCTCATCTGCCGAGGTGTCATGCTCACCAGCAGACCTCACGGTGTTTACTGCCCCTACTAATCAGACCTGTTCTTCCTATGTATCGGAATGGGCTCTATCCGCCTCCGCTCAGCTGCTCAACCCCGAAGCCTCTGGTGACGACTATTGTAAGGTATGTCGTTGGACTACTGGGACTCAGTTCTTGGACCAATTCAACCTTGGAGATGGCCAACTCGGCGGACAATGGGGCAGTTGGGGAATCTTTGTCGTGTTCACGTTCAGCAATCTTGCCTTGGTGTACTTCTTCACTTGGGCCACCAAAGTGAAGGGGTGGAAGCTGTTCTACTTCTTTTAGATGGGGTCTACTCGGTATTGCCACCGGTCATACCGTTGAACCTGGTCTCTGCGAGTCAATATGTATCATAAGCGTAATCAGGCTAGGGGAGGTACACGTAGTTTCGAAATTTGTATTCGTCCAAGACACTTTTAATACATTCTTACGCATCTATCCTGCTCTTCTGGTGAAATGATGGTCTCACGTCTCTATGCTGACAAGTAGCGTTCTCCATCGCCCGTGAATCTGATCAATTGCCGCTGCGATGTCATCGGAAACCGTGGAGAGTGGACAATGACAGACACCACCTCGAGAGGCCGCCGCATGGCGAAATGTTATGAATTCAGTTGGACCCATTCCACTTCACTCTCCTGTTGGGCAATGTGATAAATGAATGTGTGTTTCTATATAGGCCGCGATATCTATACTACAGACTATGAGCACTACTGCGCCAATCTAGCCCAGCGCCCATCACGCGCTGATTGCAGCTCTCAGTGGGTGCTCGTGTCTCAGATGACCCTCTTCCTCCACCAGTGGGCCTAAGTGACTAATAGCGACATCGGGCACTTGCGCCCTTCCTTTGCCTCGAGCAACAGCATTCGCTTTAACCATGACCTCATCCCATTCCTTGTCCGCCTCGCTCAGCCAGGTGATCGCTCCTCCTGCACCGAGTTCTAGATCATTGCCAGACTTGACGATTGTGCGGATCACAACGGATTGGTCGACGGTGCCGCTGGCACAGATGTAGCCAATACTTCCGGAGTATATGCCTCGCTCACGTTGACCTTCGAGAGAGTCGAGAATCTGAACTGAGCGAAGCTTTGGAGCGCCTGTCATGGAGCCAGGAGGGAAACAGCGCTCGATGACCTTGGTTCCTCCTACCGACGGAGCAACATGGGACTGTATTGTTGTGACAAGCTAATTGACAGTTAGTTATAATGTCATCAAGTAACACGTGAAAAATTATATCTTGCCTGATGAACAGTCTGATAAGTCTCTACATGCAAGAGCTTTGGCACAGAAATGGAGCTTGGTGGTGAAATGTTGTGAAGGTCGGATCGAATGAGGTCAACGATCTATCTAACGTTAGACAAACGAGTCTTCAACAAGAAATTGGTGCTTACCATCAGATTCTCGGCTAGCTCTTTGACGTCGGTTGCAAGTTGATGCTTCCGCCTCTCATCCTCAACTGGATCCGAGTCAACAGCAAGGGTACCCTTGATTGGCTTCATCTCTGCAACTCCATTGCTATCGATGGAGATGAAACGTTCAGGAGATGATGAGAGGATGCTTTTGTCATGGGCGGCAAAATGGATATAGGCAGAATAGGGCGCGGGATTACGTTTCCGAAGGTCAAGATACAGGCTGTAGGGATCTACCTCCGGGCTCTTTGCCTTGAACTTTGTTGTCAAGGTAAGCTCGTATGTCTCCCCTTCTTTGATGGCCTCCTTGGCTGCCCATATTGTGTTGGAATAGGACGCTTCGTTGTCTAGTGCGACGAAATTGGGCAAAGGATGCGCTTCAACGTATGGTGGCGATGGTGGCGCGTCAAATACCTCGCGGACCCGATTCAAATAGAGGTCAAACTCGGCCTCGTCGATACCTATCTGGCTCGAGGCACCAATGACATTGCCGATTGGATCCTCCTCACCTCGACGTATCAGACTGAACAGCGTCCACTCTCCAGTATAATTATCGAGCCGAAGCACAGTGTTTGCAAAGAGTTGCTCGCTATCGCTGTGATTTAAGCTGACATCCTTCTCATCAGGTGGTGTGAACTGGTAGCCAGGTAGTGATTCTCTCTTGAGCTCATAGCCAAAGTAGCCGATGAGCCCAACCTGTAGTAATGGCTGCCCAACATCTGTATCTTGATCCAGTGACTCAGAAGGGAGTGTTTCAGTGTTGGCCACGATAGTTTCCTGTTGGAACTGCTCCAGCCAGGACCAATAGGAAACACTCAACCTCTCTGATTTAATGTTTTTGCCGTGCTGGTAGAAAGACACATGTCTCGACTTGGTTGAATAGCTCAGTGTGAAGGAGGCCCACGATAAATATGAGTTGCGAGAGTGTGAGTCTCGAACCTACAACCAAGTCAGCATGTGTAAGATGGCTGGTACTGGATAGTAGGAACGTACCTTGGCGCTATCAAGCCACGCCTCACCGTCTAGGGACCGACCCCGAAACAGTGTTTGGAACACAATCTCTGCAGATGGGCCTTTGCCAATCCTAGCTGACTTGACATAATAGGGTGAGGCCGGTCGCGCTGTGTTGGCTTCTGCAACCTGTATCTTGCCCAAGTCGGTTTGCTCAACGACATTCTGCTGGAGAATGTGCTCAGGGAGCGACGCATTCTCAAGAACCCTACGCTTAGTCCATTGGTTTCTTGGGTTACTAGTCACCCAAAAGTCCAAGACGATGTCTCGGAAGTTTGAAAGAATCTGCTTGCCGTGAGCAGAGCAAACGCTTTCTGGGTGCCATTGCGTGCCAAAGACCGGGCGTTCCCGATGTTGAAGTCCCATCAGAACCTTCTTGGAGGGATTCTCTGGGTCGTATGTCCATGCTGTGACCTGAAGTTCCGGTGGGACATCTATAGCTAGTCAGCGAGAACGCGATATGAAGGGTAGCTATGATAGACATGACTTACCTTCAATGTCCAACACAAGACTATTATATCTTACGCCATCGAACTTCTGCGGCAAACCACTGAGGATTCCTGTGCCGCGGTGGTGGATCTGACAGATCTGGCCATGTTTGATGTTTGGTGCATGAATGATATTGGCACCGAACGATGTACCAATACCTTGATGACCAAGGCAGATCCCCAATATGGGGATGTTGACTTCTCTTATAAGCCTAGCATTGAAGCCAAAGTCTGCTTCGCGCTGCGGTGTGCCAGGTCCCGGTGATAGGATGATGGCATCTAGATGAGGGAGGATTTCCGATTTGAAATGATCCCTGGGAACAAACAGTCAGCCTTTGCTTAAGTTAGAGGCTTGGGAGCTTTTTGTTCCTACATACCATGAGAACTGGTCGAATCGAATAATAGATGCACTCCACTCTGGATAAGACTGGCCATCATGACCCTTCTGAGTACCTTGGAGAAGTTGCAGAATATTGTTGGTGTAGGAATCATAATGATCAATGATGAGAACCTTGATCGTGCCCATTTTGGATAAGTGTGATGCAATGTGAAAGTCTCCGATGTTAAGATGAATTCGACCAAATGTTACTTGGCATATAACAAGAATATCGAGTATATTTTAGCAGCAGACCTGCTTGACTTCAACTTGATGCGACTAGCGCGGGTTATTATGCAAGCCGAGTTGATAAGAGCAACTCGATGTAGAGACAAACGTTGTCATCGAGACCACATACAGTCTTACCCACTCTAATCCCCACGAGTCCTGCTAGCCAAAGAGAGTTTCAGGCTTGGCCAATGCTAGCCAGTAACTGGCTGTTGTCGGGATCCTCGATGTACCTCCATATTCAGGTTCCTAGTCAGGAATGACTTAAGAATCAACCCGTATCGTATCATTATAGCTTGCGTCGGGGATGCACAGCATAAGTCAGAGATGCAAATGTCGTCAGCCATGGTTCAATTGCTCGTAGATGGCTCGGCGTACCCGAAAGTGCATAGCTGCCTTCCGTTTCTTGTTGCAACGGCAGGGAAGGCTGTCTGCCGAGGCGTAGACTTACAGCGGTTAGAGCTTCACGTCAGTCTCATACACTGGATATAAGCATGTGTACTGCCTCCGTTAAAGATTCACTTAAGCAGGGCTACTTACCATTGACCTTGGCGGAATCTCCCCGCGTGCCATCACGACATTGGAGGACCATGTTGCGAGACGTGGCAAAGAACAACATCAAGATCAGAATTGCTAGGAACGGTGATAACAGAAGCGATTTTGGCTAGTCTATCTGTAGGCATGCGGCTGACATTACCAATCCCTCACTTTCGGGTACGGAGTGAAGCAGCCTGACAGGAGTCTCCATGCAGGAGTTGTGTTTGAAAAGGCGTAGGGTAGGTATGCCCCCACTCCCGGCTACAGACCACAGATACGCATTTCCCGATACGACAAAGCGCGGTAGGACTGTTTGGCTAGTTGCAGACCCCTGTAATCACGCTATAACGCGCTAACTTAATCGGAAGGGCATGCCGTGCTTAACCCTCCCGTCCCTCTCGGAGCTATGTAGACGTCCTCTGCTGTCTTCTGTCCAAGCCCGTTCCCTCTTACCATCGCCTCGGAGGAAGTGAGAGATGCAGCCGGTTCTGTTTTCGCCGAGTCGCTCTGAGGCTACCTCTCGCCGGGCCAGAGACGCCTCCAAGCAGGGCCCCTGGCGGTGCTCCAACTGTCCCAAGGAGTTTGCTCAGAGTGAGTACTACGCCCTGTCGTGCCTTGTTATGGTCAATCCCTTTGAGAAGATGACGGTTCGTGCCTGTACCGCCAACAGTCGCACTCCTGGCTCTACTCTACCGCATTCTTTCCCTAGTTCCTTGGTAGGCTAATTAATCTTTCTTCGTTTCTGAAGAGGAATATCGGTACAAGCACCAACAGCGCTGTATTCAATCCTCCCAACGACAGAAGCTATCCAAGCAGAAGTCTTGCACAGCCTGCGCATCCTCGAAATTGAGCTGCGATCTGGGTACGCCGTCATGTTCACGCTGCATCAACAGGAACAAGACGTGCCGATACGTCTCGGCCAACAATCCCAACGACACGTCTCAGCAGATCGAGGCATCCCAACCGGGGCACCACGCTCGCACCGTTTCGGGGCAGCCCTATGATAATACCGTTATCGGAAATAGCTCATCGCTGTCAAGTTACTCTGCTCGCCGTCAATCAGATCTTGAGCTTGAGGCTGTCATGCATAACGCGGGGGACCAAAGCCGCACCTCTGCCACCTCCAACGGCCTGCCGCTTGCAGCTCTCCAACAACAGCCATTACCTGCACATACGCCTCATGGTATCACTTTAAATGGGTGGCAGGCGAATACGCAGACAAACAGACCAAACGTTGGCTTTGGAGATCCTACGCCAAGTCCGAGCCAGCTTGAGAGGGACAGCATTTCGTTATTTAACTTGACCAATGAGACAGAGGCTGCGTCCCGATGGCAGCAAGAAATCCCTTGGTTCTCACAGAATGCATTTCTGTCCCCTGAATTGCCTATATCGCCAGAGCTCAAAGACCCTTTGCAGGGAAGCGGCTTTACGGGAGCTTCTGAGGATCTCAACTTTGATCTCCTGGGCTCACTTGGGATCTTGACTCAGAATCGGATCACTCCGGGTCAGGCATCTCAACCGGGCGGATTTTCAACTATGCTAAATACTCCAGCCTCATCTGATGGTCACTACCCGAGAACAACATCCATTGCCAATCACCATAGTAATCAAAACTCTCCACTTGATACTGAGGCCGATACCGAACGGGGCGGAACTCTGCATGGTGCTGTCAAAGCTGCGCGTGGTACGGAGTTGCCAAATACGGTCGCACCGCGTCTTCCATATGGTATCAGTCCAAACCTGCCGTCGTGTCCTTTTCACAGACTCCACAAAGATGATGATCTGATCAAAATGGTCAGCAACTACCCTAGTGTCATGCTAAAGCCCGGAGTATACCCCCCCTTCGTACATCATAAGCTGTACCGATGTTCTGCTGGGGATGTTGCAGAGCCACTAGCAAAGGCATTCTGTTGTGTCGGGGCGTTCTACGCATCTGTCCCTGTCAGCGAGACATTTGTTTACTCGCTCATAAATGAGGAGACCAATAAGCTTGTCAAAGGATTTGTAAGTGAACTGCCAATTACGAAATAGTCGTCGAATCTCACTAACAGTGTGCAGCATCAACTCCCCGGTTCTGATGCGGACATGCTTGCGGTGGTCCACGCTATGTGTATCTATCAGATCCTGGGGTTCTTTGTGAGCGTAAATCCGGAACAGACGTGCGCAGCCGAGTCGCAGCAGATGTTCTTCCTCAAGGTAAGAATATCCCATCTGTTTGACTTTGACAAAAAGCATGAGCTAAAAGTGCATGGCAGATGACCAGGCGTCTCGCCAAACAATATCTGCAAACCTCAACAGCCGAGGACGGCGAAGAGAGCAACTGGCGTAAATGGCTCATGGATGAGACAATACGAAGAACCGTTTTCCTTGTCAATGCCATAAATACTCTTTCCTGTCGTGTTCAGAAGCAGGATCCAAACTACTTTGAGCCTCTAGACAACGATCTGATTCATAACTTGACCCTCCCGGCACCTGAGGCTATTTGGAAAGCCTCATCGGCAGAGGAATGGACTCTCGCCAAGTCTCAACTTCCTGCTGATGATTTTACACGGACAAAGGTCACTGTACGTCAGGCTGTTGATCAGATTAAGAGCATTGGAAGATCTGGGGATCGAGGCACTCATGTTAGCCGGCTCCAGTTCGATATGATTGACGACTTCACAAAGCTAGTCATTGCTACAGCAGATGTACAGTAATAGTGTCAGGACTTTTCGTCGAAGTAGGTGAACTCAAGGGCATCTCTTTGTGTATTTGCAATACATAAAATTTCTGGTCATGTCATATTAAGGTTCTCTCCTTGAACATTGAACAACAAACTGGTGTGTAACAGTGCTTGGTAATTATGTTCTGCGGCAAAAATGAAGATGCTAATAGACCTATGCTGTGATATTAACACTCTCAATTGAATGAGTGGCACTTTACGCTTGAAATAAATAATTGAGATATAGTTAACATATCATGTTATGCATAGATCGTTGAATCTTATGCAAGTGCATATATATATATAGAAATTGAGCAATGCATCTGATACTTCCTTCCGGCATTCATCGGCGAACTGCACTGGCCTTTAAAGCTACCTCTTAGCTTATAGCCTTCTCATTCATCCGGTCCAAGATTACCAGGCGCTCCGCAAATCCCTTACCAGCCTTACTAAGAGCATCGATATTGTCCTTTTCTTTTGATAGAATTACATTCTCAGGATAGAACTTTCCCAGGAGCGCTAACTTGAGAATAGGGTCTGAGGTAGGAATGATGTGGATGGTGTTTCCATGACCGTCCTTTACTCGCGGTGAGATAACAAGTCCAGGTCGCGAGAGAATGTCTGCCGCATCGTGGACAATTGTCTTATGTGTGCCGTTGGCGCCTTGTGCCGTCAGGGCACTAAGGATGGGTGACGATGTTTCATTTGTAGAGCCCTTGTCTGCTTTGACCTCATACGCGTAACGTCGACCACGGGCGATTTGGCCAAGGTCAACGGACACGGACTTGCCAGAGTACAGCGTCAGGCGAAGTTTGACAATGCGTCGAAGAGCGTCCTTCCCGGCGTCAATGGCCAGAGAAGACTCAGTGACCCGGGTGTCTACCCCCAACAGAGAAGGTAGGTTCCAGCTTCCATCCCCAGAGACGGCTTCACTTGCTGCAAGCTCTGTTCTTGGAGCATCAATGTACTCCTTGTGCTCGTAGTCAAATAAGACCTCGCTCTCCGAATCATGGACATGGGCTGGATGATAACGTAGTAGGTGCAGGGAAGTAGATCCGGATAAGAAAGCTGGCAAAACAAGGCCTTGAGAGTACTGAAAGCCGTAACCACCTCGGGGAAGATGTCGCGCTGTGAAGATTTTGGCTAGATCAACAATGGCGACATGCTGGATTGTACCTGTCAGACAGTGCACAAGGAAAAGCTTCCGAGGCTCTTCCAGATCGCGAATACCTCGGTTTGAGTCTCGAGGAATAACGAAAGGCACCTTGTCATAGTTCTCAAAGGGTATCAAACTGTCACGAAGAAGAATCATTCGGTGAAGCCACTCGTTATAGAGCTCCATTAGCTGCGAGTCGCTCCGAGGTCCCAGTAGAAGGCTTGCAACAGCTGGAGTCCAGAGATGTCCCTCACAGGGACTTCGGAGTCGTATCTTGGGATTGGCGTTGGTAGGGTCGATGCTATCGTGGACGTATCCAACAAGTGTCTTTGCGATCTTGTTTGCTTGGATCACAATCTCTCGCCGCGCAGTGTCCTGAGACGAGTGGACCAGTGGTAGTGTAGATTCTCTACCCGTAGTGGCAAGAGAAGCTGCCAGACCATTGACGAGGACAGTGCGAGCAGGGACATCGTTCGGTCCATCTGGACCAAGGCGGGATATGATGATATCGAGAAGGGGCGAGGCGGTAGCAACCAGCTGTCGGACACTATAAACTCCGGATGGAGTGTAGAGCGCATTGTTTATGATGAGAGGGTAGCGCTCAGCTTTCGAAGAGTCGTCGTTGTAGGGAGGAGATGGGGGAGATGTCATGGCAACAAGTCCGTCTTTCTGAGTCCACGAAGGGTAGACAGTATAACCCAGGGTGAGATTTGCAAGATTGGCGAGTCGGTAGAGCGGTGCGGAGGAAGGGGGAGGAGTGATAGCGGAGACCATTGTACGCGCCAGAAGGATGTGGTTGGAGAGAATCAAGGTTGGACAGAGTTTTCGAGGGGGAAAAGAGTAGGCGAGGAGGAGGGGCAGGGCTATGATAGAGGACCGAATGATGGACTGTACCGACAGCTCGGTCGGTTGCGGATGCAATGTGACTTTGTCTGAAGCGTAAATATTGTCCCGATGCTGGATATCCAGACCGACTTTTGCAAGGTAAACAATTGTTTTCCTTACTCTTTTTTTCTGAATATTGTTCTGGGGAATCGGGCGCGTGCACGAAAGGCTATAGAAAGGAATGGCCAAGATGATTGATGAATAACGCAACGGGAAAGGAGATTAATCGCTGGCATTAAAACATGCCCATGCGAGGCTTAACACAACGGGTCCTCGGGGCGTATCGTCTGTCGATGTCCGATGGCCCTGACCAGATGTTGGTCCTCGTTACGCCCCTTAATCTTGCTGTTGGTTGAGATGACTGCTGCTCCCAGCGCTTTCTTTCTTAATCCCAGGTAGTCTTGTCTGGGCTGAATCAAATTTGGCGTGTTTTCGCTGATGCTGAAGCAGTTGGTCTTGTGCCAATTCCAGACTAAGAGAAAACAGGTTAGGCATCGTGGGTGAGAGAGGTTAGTGAAAGCGCGATCAAGAGCTTTGCCAAAATGGTATTAATTGTCACCAATGGGATGTCTGGCGCAATCGAAGGGGCGTGATACGCAATTGTGGGCTTAGCGTCGGAGATTCATGGCAGTTCAAGGTTGCTCAACTCCGACGGCATCGGAGTTGTATGGCATGGTGGGGTTATGCAGAGATAGAAAGGCAGGTGAATCACTTCTGGTACATTCAGTAGATCCAATGCAGAATTTACTGCACAGTAACTCATGGGAGGGATTGCGAAGGTGTATCTGTGTCGCAATTGGACATTGATTATGGTGATTGTGAATATTGCCAGATGCAGTCGACAGCTCAATCAGGGTGATAGTTAGTTCCGATTGCGATATTTCACCATAATCATGCTGAATTAGTAGGCAAATCCAATATCACGTCAATTTCCATTAAATACATGTCACGATGTCACTCCTACAGTAATAACCCCTACTAGTATCTGGCAGATAGACAAACTGGCCACTGTCAGCTCTGTACTTTGACACAAACCAACACCAATCTGCTGAAATGTCTACTGCAACTTTGAGTGCCGTTGCTGGCTCAGTGACGGCTTCTACGCCCCTTGCGCCATTCTCAGGTACAGAAGGGAGCTATATGCTACCGCATCATGCCCAAGAGATTGAGAGGCTGCACCGTCAACACCTCTTTATGAATACTACCACGGGAGGCCAGTTGCTCGTCGTACCAACCATAGATGACAAGGAGTCCTTGAGCGTGCTTGACTCCGGTGCCGCTGATGGTAAGTCCCTGTTGCTCTTAGCGAATTCCTGATATTGACGTTCCTAGGCTTCTGGCTACGTGATCTGCCTCGCCAGCTCCCATCGCACGATCTGGAGCTTTATGGAGTCGACATTGGATCTGATCTCTTCCCTGCACCAGATGAGATTGCACCTCACAAGGTAACGCTTCGGAGCCATGATGTCAGAACTCCCTTTCCACAGTCGTGGGAATGGACCTCCAAATTCGACGTGATCAACCAGAGGCTGCTTATCTGGGGTATCCAGTCTGCCGAGTGGCCTCGCGTCATCTCAAATCTCGTTTCATCTCTCAAGCCTGGTGGTTATATACAGCTTGTTGAGGCTGAATGGATTGATCCCAATAATCTGGCAGACGAGAAGACACGGCCTCAGCTTAGGAAGCAAGCTGCCCTGCAGGAATGGTCTACCGCCAGCTTTGGTATGGACATCCATATTGCCTACAAGCTTGAAGGGCTCCTTCGCGACGCTGGCTTGGAGGATATTCGCAAGGTGCAATTTGATCACGGCTATGGCGCCCTCGCAAGATCCAAGGATCAGAGGAACGTGTCGGCTGAGCTCTGGGTCGAATGCTTCAGGACACTGGATGAGAAGATCCCTGGTAAGTCGAACATATAACAACAAGAGACGCGGTACTAATTAAAATTTGCATTCCAGAGGCTGGAATTCCCGGAGTTGCGGTGAATTCGAAAGAGTTCCACGAGTTCCTTGATGCTTTAGAGGTCGAGATCAAGACTTATGGCTATCAGCCCAAGCTTAACTACGTCTATGGACGAAAGCCCTTGGCTTTATGAGAGAAAAGAGTTGTATCTATATAGATTTATAACTCTTTATTTCGTTATTTAATATGGGACGCCTTGCTACGATGCTTATAAAAATAACACGAACTGACTTAATGTTATACAGTGAGCCATATGTAGACGGTCTGTTCCAATGTCATGCCCAGAACCAGTGTTATTAATAGTCAAGAATTCGGCATATAAACACTTGAAACTCATAAAATGTCGTGGTCAATGTTACCATTGATCTTTGATCTGTATAATGCTTAGAAACCTGCTAGTTACAGCATATAGCCTTTACGTAAATAATGCCATATATGAAAGGTGCTGGTGGCCTCAGAATGCAGGTTCAATTTGCGGCTAACGTTACATAAGTAAGAAGTATCTGATCCTAACTATTCAATTGAAGTTCTTCACAAACTCAGCGAAGCGTTGCACCAGATTCAGCGCCTGCTCACCAGATAACCTAGGGTCACACAACGACTCGTAGCATGCCTTTAAATCTCCCTCGGTCTCACAGGATGAACCACCTAAGCATTCTGTGACATCGTCTCCCGTCTGTTCCAGGTGGATACCCCCCAAATGACTTTCAAGGCTCCGATGAACAGCATATGTCTCCTCAAGCTCGGCCAAGAGGTCATCAACCCTTCTGGTCTTGATTCCTTCTGATGTCGTAAACGTGTTACCATGGCAAGGGTCACACGTCCAAATAGGCAGATGACCGCTAAGTTGCACTGCTCTGATGATGGTGGGAAGCACCTGCTTCACCTTGTCATGTCCCATGCGAGTTATGATGGTGACCTTGCCGTACTGTGATGTATCGGGAGCCAGAGTGTCAAGGAGAGCAATGACATCTTCTGCTGTGGCTCTTGGACCGATCTTGACTCCGATAGGGTTTCTTAGTCCACGAGCGTACTCGACATGAGCGCCATCCAGTTGACGAGTTCTCTCGCCCAGCCAGATCGATGTTGCCGAGAGGTTGTAAGACTCATGAGTGAGAGCAGATTCGTAGGGAAGATGGAGTGCCTCATGCGATGTGTAAAGATGGCACTTGCTGAATGTCTTCCCGGGCACTGAATTCGCTAGCCCAGTCACATGACGGATGCTGTTCTGCGTCGCCGCAGCATAGAAATAGCCCAGCATGAGTCGCTTGGGATCTGGTTCTCTATCTTCTAGTCCCTCTGAGTTTATGATGTGGCCTCTGAATGCGTGCACCTTCTCCCCGCTTGGGAGAATTTCGAGAGGGTTTGACCTTGGCTTGGCGTATTGTCCTGCAATACGCCCGAGTGGTATGACAGGTTTACCTATAGCATCTTCGAGTATCTGACTCTGTTGATGGAGCAAGTCAACCTTGCGATGGATGATATCGTGCTGTATGTCGTGGAAGCTCTCTGCACAGTCACCTCCTTGGATGATGAAGCCACGGCCCAGAGCAACGTGGTAGAAGCGAACCCGGGCCTGCTCTATCTCCAAGCGACTGACAAGAGGAGGGAGCTGCTTCAGTGATGCACATACGTTCTCCAGAACATTTGTATCATTGTACTCCACCGCTTGAGCAGCATACTTTGAGCTCCATGAGTCTGGCGTCCAGTGGATGGCCTCATTGCCATTCGTGGTGATTTCCTTGACTACCGCTGGAGCCGCAGCCTTTCGGTTCCGGTAACCGACAGGAAGTCGGAAGTTATATGTCTAATAAGAATATATCAGTATTGGAACATGTAGGAAATTTGCTGGATAAAGACTTTACCGGTGTCTCAACATGCATCGTGGGTGTATGCAACATATCCCGTAGTGGCTGCCACTTGTTTCGATGGTTGTTTATCAATGTATCACTTCAAAAGATTTATGAGTTCCGATTGCAATGTATTTTGGCGATAAATGTGACTTGTGGAGATATCTGTGATCTCGATATTTAACACGAAGAAATAGATAAAGGCGTCTCATTCTAGATGTAATCGACTGAAGTCCTTCCTGGCAGACACTTGACTTGGGCCTTGGTCAATAGCAGCGGACAAAAGCGAGCCACTCATCTACAATTTTGCGTGATTTCGCCTCTGATTGTTGTGTTCCAGCTTGTCCCAGTTGCATTCCGATGCTGACCAAAACGTGCCTCGTAAGGCGTGGGGGGTTGGTGAACGATGCTGTCGTGGCCAACAGATCATGTTAGAGGGCCCGATCCGCTAATGCAAGGCCTGAAGGCAACTTTCTGCATGTCGGAGTTGGAACTGCGTTCATTTGGTACACCGAATCATTAGGGAGGCCATGCTCGGACATAGTTGACCATGGCACTTGGCCAGAAACGTGGTTGCATATGCACGTCGAGTCACCAAACTTCGTCACAGTTGAGAGGGCTTGTATGGAGGCGACATGATGAGCTAGATGGCGGGGGGCTTGCATTAGGGAAACTGCCTTTCGTTTCATATGAAATATGTCAATTTTGAGGTTTGTCCGAAAGGATCAATGTAGATCTACACATCAAGAGCTCATAGACGAAACACCGGAGAGTGAGACGACATCAAAACTTAACTGTTTCATCTTGTAATACTTAGAGATAGAATTAAAGCATTTAAATAAAGAACGACTATTTAAAATATCTACTTGAAAATCATGCACTACCTGCTTGCAGCAGCGGAGCATTGGCTACAGCCTCAGACGTCTCGCGCTGCATATCATCAGTCCAAGTCGTGGTGTTTTGGCCGTTTTTATGTAGATACGCCAATTTCTCCACCACGTGCTTTCCAGCGTAAACAGCGCCATACTTCTGGGGGTTCGAGGCAGTGCAGCAAGCCTTGATCGGTTCAACTAGCGCCTCTCGATTAGGATGACCGAACCAAGCAATGGAGTAGCGTGCCGGGATAATCTCAGGAATGTTTCCGTCGGCATCAGGCTTGGGAACCGGCTCCACAACGCGGTGCTCGGTAGAAATGAGGATGTCGTTGAACCAGCGGGACAGCAGATCCCCAACTATTCTTGGTTAGTCACTTCTATCTTGCATAAAGGTATCTCGGCTCTTGATAGCTTACCGTTGATGATGGCGCATCCGGGAATCGGCGGGGCATCGATGTACTTCCCGTCCACTCGGCGCACTTGCAGTCCCCCACTCTCATCGTTGAAGAGCAAGGTAAGGGTACCATAGTCTGTATGTGCCGATGCCCTCGACCTTTCTTTGAAGGCATCTCGAGTCGTCTCAGGGTAGTAAATGACGCGAAAGAAATGGTCTTTTTCGCCTACATGAGGCTCAAAGAAGTCCCCGTCCACACCGACCTGCTCTGCCAGGACACGAAGCAGAACAAGATGAACCTCATGACATTTCTCAAAGAAGAAGTTCATGTCGTCGCGGAACTCGGGCCAGTTCTCAGGCCACTGATTCGGCCTTGTTGGGTCGTTCTCCTTCCCAACATCAAAAGCCTCTTTGAGATCAGAATGGCGAGAATCTCCCGAAGTTCGAGCAGGAGAAAACCATCCATGGAAGCCCTTCGACTCTCCCGTCTCGACCTTTGCCTTTTCTGATACAGGTAGAGCGAAGAACTTCTTTGCGTGAGAGAAGAGATTTTCCCGAGCAAAGTCAGGGATGGAGTGGTTTGCTAGGTACACGAATCCAATATTGACAAAGGCGTCGAAGAGTTTTTGCTTCTCTTTGATGCTGTCTTCTAGGACCTCCGGGGACCTAGAAATGGAAGGCCCAATGATCTTGGCAAAGTCAATGACCGGGAGACTGGTAGTTTCTTTGGACGCCATCATTAGAGGATGTTTAACGAAAAGGAAGTTGCTCTGGAAAAGTTTTGTAAGAGCTTGGTAGTTTCAGCTCACAGCACTAATGTATCTGTTAGGCCTAGCTGAAGACCTCAATTTTGGACCTGTGATTGATTTATGGATTCACACCAGAACAATGTCTCGAAACGCACGCTCAATCACCCTCATGAACTAAAGAGCCTCCTGCAAGTATCTGCCGATTCAATTAGAAAGTCGTGTGTGCTTCCGTCATGCACAAGCCATGTCTGCCTAAGTGGTAGAGACAATCCGGGCCGCATCGGAGCTGGTAACCCTGTCAGCATACCCTGAACCGTGGACGACATTACAATTGTCACGGCGAAGTAGCTATGAACCCTTGACTGGGCTTATGCATATAACCCGTATATCCATGCAAGTCCGACTAAGACTGCGCCAAGTCGTCGCGTCATCGAGGACCCCAATGTCGCGTAGACGCGGAATTATGTACGCGACCTGCTTACGTGAAGCTCGGGTCGCCACGTCATGGTTTACGCTAACCCGACCAAAGGCTAATTGATCTTCACGAGCCGTTTCGAAGTGGTGAGTGATATGCATTAGCTCTTACGGGGCTCGGAGCGAGCTGGAAAAATACGATAATAGGAAGTTGATATGGCGATTGCGTAAATTTCAGTTACATGTTGAATTACGGTAAGTGAACGGACGGTATGCAATTCTGTTGGTGTGCTTTTCTCCCAGGAAGACGAAATTGCGGAAATGGAGGGGCTACATACCTCTGAAGCCAGAGACCAAGACTCATGTAGAAGGCCAAAGCACCTTCAATACTTAATTCCTTGATTTGAGATCAATTAGACGGTTTTCACATCTTTATTCAAGCCACCATCTGTAGTTCATCAAAATGGTCTTTGAGTCGAAATTCCCCAAGGTTGACCCGCCCTCTACGGACGTGTTCAACTTCATCTTCAACACTGCTCGAGAGAAGTATTCCAAAGACAAAGTCTTATACCGGGTCCATAATACCGGTGAGACTTTAACTTTGGAAGAACTTGAAAACAAGAGCTTGCGCCTGGCTAGCATCCTTGCCAAGAAATACGGAATCAAGCCTAATAATGTAATTGCATTTTTAGCCACTAACTCTGTGAGCTATCCTTGCCCTTACGATTTATATGACTGATTTAACTAACATCTGACAGATTAACTATCCTATTGCATTTTTTGCAGCGCTGGCAGCTGGAGCTACAATCTCCCCAATCCCTGTTCAGCAAGGACTTGATGCTCTGGCAATTATTCCCAGACTCGAACAAGCTGACGCCAAGTTGATCATAACGGACTCAACCCTGTCATCTATCACAAAGCCGGCAGCTGAGGCGTTCAATAGTATTCCACTGATCAGCCTCGATGATTCTTCCCAGGGAATCAGCAATGTTGAGGACCTACTTAGCAAGGAAAATGAGCTCTTCACTGGGTTCAGACTTTCCACCCATGAGGAATCTGAGAAGCACTATGCTTTCATTTACCGTACCAGTGGATCATCGGGCAACGTCAAGTCATTCCTCACAACTCATGCCCACTGGGCTGCGAATCTCCTCACAACCCGCCTGACCGTACCCTCCGACACAGATCCCGAGAAAGACGTTTGGCTGTCCTCTCTGCCCTTCGCCTATGGAATCAATGCAAAGCTCAACCTTGGCCTGAATATTCTCCTTGGTATTCCTGTTATAATTCTTACTCAGCCTTTCGACCAATCTACCTTTCATCTCATTGATAAATATGCCATCACCTTCCTTTTCGTTACCCCGCCTCTCGCAGCCCAGATCGCAAAGTCAGAAAAGGTTGGGGTCACTTACAAGAGCATCAAATGGCTTCTATCTGCTGGAGCTCCTGTTCATACAAAGATTCGAGATGCCGTTCAAGACAAGTTCAATGGCGTTCGCCTGACTCTAGAATGGGGAACGACAGAAACTCTTCTTATCACCCTCCAGGTCGATGAAGCCTCCTCTGTACCTGGATCAAGTGGTACTCTCGTCCATGGTTTCGAGGCCAGGGTCCTCGATATTGAGACCGGCAAGGATCTAGGCCACAACGAACAAGGAGAGATCCTCGTGAAGAATACACTTGCTCGCTTTGCTGGGTACAAGGACAATGACGAGGCCAATAAGGATTTTGACGCTGACGGCTGGTTCCACTCTGGTGACGTCGGCTACGTTGACGAGAACTCTAATGTCTTTATCGTTGACCGATTGAAAGAGCTGCTCCGCGTCGGTGATGGCTACGGTACCCACGCCTCAGCTGCTGAATTTGAGGCTGTTCTCTTCGACCACCCCGCCGTAGCAACAGCCGTTGTAGTAGGTATCCGTGACCAAGAGACTCAACAGGAGCATCCTACGGCATTTGTTGTGCTGCAGCCAGACGCGACACCAAGCCACGATTTAAAGAACGTGGAAAGGTCTTCGGCCTTGGACAACTTGGCTAAAGAGCTGGAGGGATATGTTGAGACAAAGCTGGGAAAATTCAAGAGGCTCTCAGGTGGTGCATTCTTCGTGGAGAAGTATCCTTACGTTGGCTACAAGATTAATAAGAGAAGGTTAAAAGAGCTGGTACATGTTGGGCCATCTTCGGATAGCTTTGCACGGTGGATTGATGCTACAGCTTAAAACTGGTCAAGTCTAATAATTCAAATAGCTCTCATGATGCGAATTATGTTAAAATAAAGATCACCATTGAAGATACTAGCAAAGTCAGTCCCGAGGGCAAACTTAGCCTATGAACGTTTCCCAGTCTGAATCTTAATAGATAAGTTAATAATTAGTAAGTATACTGTTTACTTAATGCTAAAGATATAAAGTTAATTAGACAGAGGTAAAAACTGTATTAGCCTGCAGAGTCTGATTTAGAACTTAGGCGCATAGGCACCTATGCAGCACGTCTTACTACTAAGACCTTGTCCTGCAGTGTACGTATAGGTTAATGTCTCTTGACCCCCGCTTAGGGTTAATAAAAGCACGCCGTTCCTACCAGGTCTATTAATATCCTAAGAACCTGCTATCTGACCTACACCCCCGATAATACTTGATATAAGACATAAGGCTGAGCATAAACCTACCTGATAAGGCATCTTAAGTACCACAGTAATTACGTCCACCATCTTGAGCTCGTTGCAAAATGAATCGCAAGCCACACTCAGGTAGCATTTCATCTTACGTTGACCGAAGGCGATATCCTGCCAAATGCCCACAATCATTGAGGTAAACCCGTCACCAAACCATATCAAGTCAGCGTCAGGATTCTCGTAGGACAATCCTAGCACCAGAAGCAGAATCGTGGTCCACAATATGGTGAAAGCAGACTCCCATACGCGCCAATCGCGATATAATCCCCTCTCCTTTGCTATGCTATAGTTGAGAAGCACGCGTAGCGTCCTTGTAACCATACAGACGCTGTAAAATACGTTTGCAGGCCCATACTTCTTCTTGAATCGGTAGTAGGTATTGATAGGTAGTGTTAAGCCTTCGAGAATGAACAGAATGCCCGCTATTGCATTTTTGGCTCCTAGTGTATCGTCAACGCCATCAACCACGAGTGCTGAAGATGCTGTTGGGCTGAGCATAGTGGTGATATCTTGAGCCACAGTTGCTGGAGACATGACTTGTGGCATTACTTCAACTGGACTCTGATCATATGCTATCTTATAGATGACGTTGATGGCTATGCCACCAAGAAAGCAAGCGAGGTCCAATAAAGTCAAGTCATTGCCGGTAGCGAGACGATAAAGCGGCGACACGATTGGTATCTCGAGATGCATGTTGAGTCCCTCCTGTATGAGAGAAACGACCGTACCCATGATCGACATGAAGGAATCAAATACAGCCTGGAGTGCGTCAAGGCCTAGCAATTCTGCTGCCTCAAGTATAGCGTCGAAGAATCCCAAGGCTGACACCTTTCCGTCGAGTAGATTCTGGATATCGCTGAATACTGTGACGAAAGCCTTCCCCACGTCCTGCATTAAAGTATTCAAAGCTTCAAGTACAGGGTCGATGTTTGTCATATTATTGCTTTTCGTGGCATGTGTCGTAGTTGTCGGGTCCGCTTCCATCCGACTCTTCAACCACCCAACTCGAGGATCGCTGCGCAAATCGACCTGGTGCGGCCCAATAGGGGGCGGAGGTGGTTGATGGCTAGACCATGCCTCTTGTACAGACACATCACCTGGTTTTGCCATTTTGGTGCTAGTCAGGTTTGGGATTATATCTGCCTTCACTTTCGAAAACCAATCATCTCCAGCAACCTTGACCTGATTCTCAATGCTAATAAAGGAGGTAATTGCCTGGTTGACTATATCCTTTAGCAGATTTTTGACGGTGACAAAGTCCGACCAATTGAACACAAAGGCCAGCCATCTGAAAACGGCCTCGACTTCAGCCCCTATCCACTTGAACAGTGCAGTAATAGCGTTCAGGGCATCTTCTACAGTTTTGATGACGGCTTTGATGACTGACTCGCCGATGGTGACGACAAAATGGATCACATCGCCTACCACCTCGAAAACCATCTCTGCAACGTCGTCAACCACGTTAATGATCCACTGAACAATGTCTCCGAGATCCGATAACACATCATTATCTTGAGACTGAAGCTTAACCTGTTTTGCTCTGGCATTAAAGGCTGCTACCCGCGGCAACTTTGGCAAATGTGTGGAAATCGTCTGGAGGCCCTGCGTAACTCCGGAGACGGCCTCAGCGCTTGTACCAGCAGCAACAAGATTCTGGGTCTGGCCATTTGCATCAACATAAGTCGCATTGGCGAGATCGGAGGACGTGATGTTGCTGAGTGCCGTAGTCACCTGTCCGCTGGGGTCGATGTTGAAGGTCTCACCTCCTACCAGCGTCAAAACGAAGCTTGGTGTAGCCAGGCTAGAAACAGCATGAATTATGTTGACGTAACCGCTATAGTCGGTGATCATGTCGAAGGTCTCTCCAGCAAATACCGGCTGCGCAGATCCATTGATGATGAGTGAGCAATCCGCCGATGCAGTAGCCGTTAATGCCACCAGCGGCTGCGGGATATTGTTAGAATCTTCCACGAGACAATGTGTGGTGTAAGTTTTGATTGTAATACAGTCCATCGTGGTTGGCATTGGGTGAACACTGTTAAGCCAGGCACCAGTGCTGGCGTTGCGACTAAGGCGAACAAGACCGTTGCCAACGGCACTATTGCTAGTGGCAGTGGTAGAGCTCAGAGGGGCTACTGCAAACAAGTCGATGGCGTAGTCGGAACTGCTGGTGACGGCTGTAATGTCCGATACGTTGCCTAGCAATGGTAAAGGGCTCTTCCATGCAGATGGCATGGCTCGCTCAGCTAAAGGAGCGGCCGTGTAGAACAGTTGTCCAGCTCCATTGAGACCCCAGATAAAAGCTTGATCGCCGCAAGTGACAGCATGAAGTTGAGTTACTCCAACTATCAAGCTACTTATGACGAGTTGAATGGGTTCGTGCGGAGGACCCTGGTTATAGGGAAAATAGGCAATGTACCCATCAGCAGCAACAAATAGATCTGTGTAGGAAGCAGTGACACCTGGTGGCTGATATACGAGAGTTGCTATAGTAGATGCCCCACTGGGTACTGTGAATATAGTCGCATCTGGGGGCCCAAACGTGCCTTCTGTTGGAAGGTAGGTCAAAGAAGGCGTGCCGTCGAGCTGGTACATCTTGTACAGACCCCATGAGTAGAAATCTGACCTAATTCGTCCGGGGGCAATGCTCAGTCCACCAACACCAACATCCTGCTCTTGTGCATAGTAGCTCCATTTTGTTGCACCCGTGCTGGCAGTTGGGCTTAGTAAGAAACAGCGCAACTCGCCTGGTGCGTCTGGATCAGCGACTGTAGCGAGAGAAAGTGTCGGATCAGTTGGCAAGAGTCCTGTTTCAGCGTACAATCCCGTTACTTTCAGTGTAGCGGCAGTGATTCCATGTATGGGCGGCGAGGGAATAGCATCATATGGCAGCTTGGTAAAAGAGATGGAGCCGTTTTGTAACCACACTGAGGCATCCGTAGCTGACGGTCCTGTGAGGAGCCAGACCTCATCGACACTGTTGCCACTACCATTTGTTTTGGCTGTGACACTGAGCAAGATGGAAATATGGCGGTCTGGTCCTGATTCGGAAGAGGCAAAGTATCCAGCACTCAAAGTCGTACCAGCCGGGTATTGATTCGCCAGCAAGGTGCTTATGTCGGTCACTGTCCATCCAGTCTGGGATCCAGTTATCTCAACCGAGGCGCGAAAGATGGCATCGCTGCCGATTGAAAGCAGCACAAGGTTGCCAGCTGGAGTCGCGAAAGCGGTAAATCCTTCGGCGCTATCGAGAACTCCAGCTGAGATATGATTCTCCATCAGGAGGCATGAAGAAACAACATTATATGTAGGCGAAGCCATCTTGGTTAAGAACTCGGGTTGATTGTCCTTGATACAGATGGAGAAGAATGGTATATAAAAAGCTGAGACGATTAAAACAGTTCTTGAGAATGAAATTTATTATACCCTATAGTGTTAACAGGTGTTTTTTTAATTATTGAATTGTAGTACAAATCAAATACTAAATCTATATAGACACATGCAGTAGGTTAGTTGCATCCGTATGGTACTGAGTGGCCTCATCAGCAATTAGAAGAATGTGATACCTGTGTTCTAGACTTTAGAAGACCGCGGAAACCAGTGCCGTGGAATTTGATACGTGTGCTGAGGGGCTGATTGGGAACAGAAAACCTCCGACATTGGCACGCTGGCTACCGTGTCATTTGCAGACGCCAACAGCAGATGTATTTTGTCCCCCTGAATCCCCTATCCTTCGGAGGCGTCTTGGAATGTGACGCACAGAAGCTAGACTGGAAACATTCCCCCCCCCCCAAGTCTGGGCAAATTGGTGGTGAGCAGCTGGGCAACCTGTTTGGATCAAAAACCCACCATGAATTAGCTGTGATAAGAGGTTCCCAGCTCAACAGAACCGAATAGCATTTGCAAAGAAGTGGCCGGTTCCGTGCAACTCGTTATGTGGCTGGTGGGCTGTCCAATTGTCTTTCAGAATGTTATCATGTGTACTTAGCTTTGTGAGAGGATGTTACTCATAATTTCCGCATTCTCACATGGATTGATTTTAAGTTATTGCTAATCCAGACGCGTCTAGATTCCAATCACATGCTGCCGTGTCAGATGTGCAGGAAACAAGAGCAACCAATTATCTAACTACCTGCGCTTCTTCCTAACCTTGTAGGGACAGTTCATGATTAAATCATACGAGATTCCAACTGCATCGGAATGGGTCAAGGTATATGATAGTTGAAAGCAGACTTTGTACAGTACCGATAGCAGGTCCGTGGGATGCGACCTAAGCTTTCTACTTGGTATTAATAACCTAAAACCAAGGCAAATAATTTTTCCAGAGTCAGCTCAAAGCATTAAATAAAGCCAAAGACTGATCAAATACATTTTTTACTATTTCTCACGATTGAGAAACATTATGGGTTCAACTCAGCTAATCGACTTTACACCGGCAGATATCGACATGATATTTGCCGTCAGCCAGGAGAACCTCAACCAAGGCCTAAGTGAGTATATCGACGGTCTGGGCACTCAGATTTCGTGAGCCTTTGACGTTGACTCCAAGGGGAAATTTCTGCCGCCAGCAGATAAGTCAGCCCCAAACATATCTTTCTCTGGCACCCTCGCAGCCCCAATGCCGACAGCCTCTGGTCCTCCCACATGGATTGTTGATCTCTCACAATCTGGTACGGCAACTCAAGTGACCTTCAACATAACCTTTGCGGACGGTGCCACTTTCAACAATAATCAACTAGGTCGAACATTTACGCAGTCCGTGGCAAGCGGCGGTCCCCAATGGGTTGTTCCGTACCAGGTTGACCTCACCATAGCCAAGATAGACAACTTGAAGGGTATTCCCCAGTGGCTCAAAGACCGTTTCGCTGCTTTGAACGACGACTATGGCGAGGTTTTCGACCTATCTCAGGTTCTCCTCGACCTAACAACCCTAGCATTCCAGACTGGATCTACATCTCCTGGTATCGACTTGTATGACTGGTATCTCATCCTTCAAGGAACTCTCGCCTATCTCCAGACCAACCATGGTGATGTCTACACAACGCCTCCAAGCACTGGGTATGCCATAACCCACAACGGTGCAACGCCAACGCAAACACCTCCGACTTACACGCCTACAAGTGTTGATTTTGTGATTCTTCCTAATGCCGCCCTACCTGGAGCCAGTGCGCTTGTGTTTGTCTTCATGATTAATCAGAGGCCCTTCCCGCCTTCGCCAGCTAACGCTTTTGTCGACGTTGTCTTGATAACCGATCCGGCAATAACCCCTGGAGTGGCGCTGGTCGGTGCACCTAACTTTGTGTCGTTTATCTAGAATGACGTGCAAGGTGTCGGCCTGGATGCAGAAGTGGTCAACAACTACGTCGAGAGTGTTCAAGTACTGGGAGGAGTATCTTGGCAGCTTTCCCAGACAAACCCGGCCGCAGTAACCAACTCATGGCCAAGCAGCGACAACAAGTTTGCGTTTTTAAGCATCGATAATGAGCAGCAAATTTCCAATGCTGAATATCAAGTTATCGGGGGTCCATTATATAACAATTCTTCAACGACCAATAATAATGCAGCAGCATATCTCAGCGATGCTCAAGCCAACATTAGGTTTACCCAACTTACAATTGGAGGCTCCATGTCGTGGACGATCAGCTTTACATTGAGCCCAACCGAAGGATTGCCCTCCTTTTGGACCTCTCCAACATTCTCATACACATGGAACACCTGCTATGATATCCAGAGTGTGAACGCGACTAATGCACAATCAGGTGGCGGGGTTCAATTTGTGCTATCATCTTCGTCGTATCCTACTTCGCCCACCTCTTCTGGCTCCGGGGACCACTTTGACTCAGTCCCTCCGTCAACCCAGGAGTACCTTACCATAATCTTGGGTCCCGTGGTTAATGCGCTGCCTGGCCGTTTTAAATCTGACATTGCTTCACTCTCATCGATGGGCAGATTTGTTTTTCCAGGTAGTGGAACTTTTACATTCCGGGACCTAGCTATTAATAATATATATGCAGTTTATACTACAATTTAATATTAAAACCTAGACTAAACCTAAATATATATATAGTTTAAACTTTAGGATTATTAAGTTAATACTAAGTCTATATATATACTCTAGTAGCTAGCGTTATAAGGCTAATTAAACTAACTTAAACATTATATTAGCCTGTAAAGCCTGATTTAAAACTTAAGCGCTTAGGTATCTATATAGTATGTATTATAGCTTAATTTAGTATTAGAGACTGTTATATAGTTATAGGTTAGCTTAGTATAAATCTAGAAAGGATAAGGATTTTATAAGATTATAATTATATATTAAATTGCTTTAATTTTAGTATTAGCA